CTGAAATTTTTTGTATATTATTGGAAATTTTGTTGTCTAACTAACAAGAAAAAATTGAGTCCATTTGGTCCAAAATTACGCCCGGTATTCAAAAAAAGGCGGACCAAGGTATGGTAAATTTTGTATCACTAAATTTTTAAATGCCTATAACTCGGATATTATAAGAGATAAGTAGTATGTCCAAGCATGTTTTTTCAAGATCTCGTCGAGCGCTTTCACAAAATATAAAAATCTTTGTATTTGGGTGAAAAACAAAAAAATGGCACGAGTTTAAAAATTTTACATGTCGTAGGTACCCTACTTTGAGCCGCCACAGCGCCGTCCCTGGGGCATCTGCAGGGTTCATCTTCAAAACTTAAACTCGAATACTCCTTGGCTACGCTCACGCTTAATACTAAAATATGAAAAAGATGAAATTAAAGGACACAAGTTTAAATGAACATATTTTTGAATGTAATTGAGATATTGGCTTGAAATTTTTTGTAAAGGGTCGAGAATTTCCATATCTAACTAAAAAATGATATTAAGGGATAAATATGGACTAAATTGTTGTAGCTATCTGCGATCCTATTAAAATTTTGATATAAATCATAGTTTTAGAAATTAAACAAATATGTAATATATGACAAAATCTTTATTTATGAACAAAACTCAATGAAATTTTCAACGCTTGTTAAATTTGTCATTTCAAATAAGAATATGCAAAAAAAAAATTGAAAAGGTCAAAGGGCATCCCGCAATTCCCAAAAATAGGAATGAAAATCCCAAAAATGGGATTTTTTACTTTTTTGCCCATAGGGTCCACATTTCTTTCAGGGCTGGGAAAATACTTTTGGAGTAAATAGAAAACATATTGAGGTTTCCAAAACTGCTTTCAGTTTTCTGATCCCAGCTTTGGGATTTTAGAACATGTCGCCCAAAGTTGAAGTTTTGATAAAAAATAGGTCATATTCGGAAGGACGCAGTGGCAACAATTTCAAAAAATAGGACAAGTTTTTTACGCCAAAGCGTTCTGCGTAAAGATACCTTTTAGAAAACTATAAAATTGTTATATGTTCTTAATAAAAATTTTATTTTATTAATAAAAGAGTTAAGACACATTTTTGGCAAAAAAACGCCAAAAATCTAAAATTTTTTGAATTTTTAAATTAAAAAACGTATATTTTTGGATCTGTAAACAATATTGATCTGAAATTTTTTGTATATTATTGGAAATTTTGTTGTCTAACTAACAAGAAAAAATTGAGTCCATTTGGTCCAAAATTACGCCCGGTATTCAAAAAAAGGCGGACCAAGGTATGGTAAATTTTGTATCACTAAATTTTTAAATGCCTATAACTCGGATATTATAAGAGATAAGTAGTATGTCCAAGCATGTTTTTTCAAGATCTCGTCGAGCGCTTTCACAAAATATAAAAATCTTTGTATTTGGGTGAAAAACAAAAAAATGGCACGAGTTTAAAAATTTTACATGTCGTAGGTACCCTACTTTGAGCCGCCACAGCGCCGTCCCTGGGGCATCTGCAGGGTTCATCTTCAAAACTTAAACTCGAATACTCCTTGGCTACGCTCACGCCAAATTTTATCCCGATCGGATCAGCCGTTTAGAAATGCCAGATTTATTTCCAAAAAATTTCCATTCTGCCCCACTGTGCACCAGTGATTATGTTAAAAATGTTGATTATTTTTTTAATAATATTTAATTTCGTTTTTACCTTCATTCGAAAATAATGTGTTGACAAAAAAGAGATTATCTAAATCAAGGTTTATATGGGGGCAGGAGGTTACTATGGTCCTATCCTTATAGATTTTGGTAGAGGGATTCACGTCTACATTAGTTATTTATACAAAATAATATCATGATATTAGTGTTTATAAGTGAATGTCGACCATCAAGTCATTTTCTGAAGGGGACTTTATATGGGGGATATGCTCAAATGAGGCCCGATCATTACGAAAATCAGGAGTGTCATTAAAACTATAAGGTGCCAAGATCATTGTTTACAACGAGTCAGAGATCAGCAGCAATATCAGCAAGGACAATATCATTGGATACAAGGGGTCAGAGAGCAGCAGCAATATTAACAGGGACCAGAACATAGGTTACAAGGAGCCAGAGAACTAATACCTAATCGTCGGTACTTTAACAAAAAACGCTTTAAACGTAAAGCTCCCGTAGAACTTAAAGGCAATATATTAATAAACCACATCAATAATCTCATCAAAACTACCTCACTTTATCTCGAAAAAAAAAAAAAAAAAACACAGGACTACCCCCGAATTAGAATCACCTACCACCCCTCACTATAAACATTTCCCTAAAATCATATAAAACTATATGGTGCCAATTTTTTAAATGATACAAGAACATTTAACGTATTTATAAGTTCAAAAGCCCTATTCGGGGGTACAACTGTATAGGGGCTATATGAAATAATGGACCGATTTTAACCATTTTCAATAGTCTTCGTCCTGGGGTCTTAAGAGGAATATGTTTCAAATTTCATCAAATTATCTTGAACAAATAGAAAGACAGACTGACTGACTGACTGACTGACAGACAGATAAATCGACTCAGAAGGTGATTCTGAGACGATTGGTATACTTTTAGGTGGGTCCATGACTATTATTATTTCTTTTTTTTTTGGGTGTTACAAACATCAGGCCTAGTGAAAAAACGTTAAAATTGATCACCAAACTTTCAATCAAAAAACGAACAGTACTTGCATTTTAAATAATGAAAATCCTTTCCTGAATGGCATCTTATGCAGTCAGTTATAGACCGATCCTCATTAAATTTGGAATGAAGAAATATATTCTTATAAATATTTTTCATGTCTTTCTTCAGAAACGAAGAGATCCTTATAAGTTTGACAAATAGATTTTAGCTTTGATAAAACTTTTATGAGTTATAAGCGTTATAGTAATGTCTTGGAGGAGACTTTATATGAGAGGTAGTTTCCATAAATTCTTTATATAAAATGTCATTGCTATACAGGCATTTTGAAACAAATTATGACCGTTATTGTCATTTTTTGAAGAGGACCTTTATATGGTGGTAGGGTCCATTATAGAGCGATCCTTTTAAAATTTGACAAAGAGAGTTTAATTCAAATAAAACTTGTTTATGTCGAATTTTGTAGCTTTACTAACAATTTGAAGCAAGTTATGAGCGTAATAGACATTTTTGAAGAGGGCCTTATATAAGGAGTACGGCCCAATCCATAAAACTTGTTTATTTATTTATATGTTCAATACAATACAATTACATTTTAACCTCATTTATCGACCAGGGTGTCGATGATCATACGCCCGTTGTAGTGTAGCAGACCAGAGTCTTCAGTGGTAATCGAACCCACAACTCCCCGATTAACAGGATAGCACACTACCAACTACCGGGTCATCCAAAACAAGTTTATGTAGAATTTCACTGCTATAGCGGCATTTTGAAGCTAATTTTCTGAAGGAGACCTTATATGGGGGTAGGGTCTGTTATAGACCGATCATTAAAAAATTTCACAGAGAGGTTTTGGTATGTCGAATTTGAAAGCAGTTTGAAGCAAGTTGTGAGTAAGTGTTATATTCGTTTTTAGAAGGGGACCTTTTAATGGTTTTAGGTTTGATTATATTCCGATCCCCGTAATATTTGACAGAGAACTTTTAGTTTCTATAAAATGTATATGTCGAATTTCGTTGCTGTACTGAATTTTCTGATGAAATCTTTACATCTGACTGATCCTCATAAAATTTTACAAAATCATTTTGGTTTCTATAAAAATTGTTTATATCGACTTTCATTGCTATACATGCTTACTTATATGGGTCTAGGTGAAATCGTGGATCGATATTGTCCATTTTCAATACTTATATTAACAAGCAGCATCAACTAAATATATTTGCTCTCTAGCTCGCCCTGTTTGGACTCTATCTTAGAATCTAAGGACCCAGAATATATACATATATTTTAATGGGGGTTAGACCAATATTTTGATATGTTACAAGTGGAATGACGTCCCTATGACGTCCCTTTTGATGGTGGATATAAAAAGTTCGTCATTTTGTGATCACAGTATAAAATCACAGATCTTCACTACTTTCTAAATTGACGCGTTATTTAATGATCTACAGTTGATCTTATTTCATTATTTTCTCAATTGGATCCACAATATATATTATGTTTTTCACTATTTTCTCAATAAAGATCTATTTTTGGTGGGAACTATGAGTGATCGCATATATATGGATCTACAACCATATATATGGATCTACAACCGAAAGTTAGTTATTGATCTATAGCAGATTTTAGGTTTTTCATAAAAAGTCGATTTTTTATAGGAATTATGAGAATGATCACCGATCTTCACTGTTTTCTCAATTGCAGTGATATTTAAGGATCTCTGGCTGATTTTTGAGGTTTTTCATATATAAGTCGATTAACGATGGGAAATATGAGTGATAACAGATCTTCATTATCTTCTCAATTGGAGCATTACTGAAGGTTCTACAACTGATTTTGGGTTTTTCATATAAAAGTCGATTTTTGTTGGGAAATATGAATGATCGCAGATCTTCACTATTTGCCCAATTGGACCGTTATTTAAGAATATATAGCCGATTTTAGGTTTTTCATATAATATTCATTCATATACTCGGCATAGCACTAGGGTATAGCACTCTAACTTGTTTTTTTTATTATTAACTTCGTAAAAGCACGTCAGAAATTATAAAGGGGTCATAATTTTTTAATTATAAATATTTGTTATTTATTTTTAAGTATATTTTTAAATACAAAAAATTATCATTATAACTTAAACTACTAAATGATATAATTCTTTAAAGAAACTAGATAAAGGACATAAAGTGTGCAATAGTCTTATTATAAAGAATTTCAAGCAAAAACTATTACTACCTTAATAATAGAATAAGTTATTAATAAAACTTAAAATTTTAAAGAAATCAAAAATGATTCACTTAAAGTAAACTTAAAAGTTTGTGGGGGAAATAAATAAGTTAATAAATAATAATTTAAATTAAAATCAATTATTAGTAAGAATTTAAATAATAAGGCATGAGTATGAGTGATAATGATTATGACTTTTTAAAAATCTTGCAAAATCACTGGATGCCAAACATCCGTTGGCACTGATGACTCATAATCATCTACACCAGCAGTGGGGGTAACTAAGGTGGTGGATACTGCAACAGTAGGCAGTTTAGAGTTAGTATTTTGTGGGGAAGTATTAAAGGCAACACCACTACTTCTAACACTATTAATCTCAGGAGTATTACCATCACCAACAGTAGCAGCTGCAACAGCAGCAGCAGCACCGTAACCAATTCTACGTTGAGTTTGATGTGTCCGATATTTTAGATATTGTTTGTGTTGCTGTTGATTATGTTGTTGTTTAGAGGAATGTTGGTGACTGTGATAGTTTTGGCCCGGTACAGATTTGGAGATTTTATGGGGATACATATGAGTGGAGGACAAATATTTAGTGGGGGATGAGGAGGAGTTTTCTGTGTTTACCGCAGAAGTTTGAGGTGTAGAGGGAGAGGTGGTTTTTGCTGACGATGTTACTAGACGATTGAATTCAAAAAAATCTATTATGGGATGATAACTGTAATTTATACGTTTCGGTGGTTGAGGATGTGTGGCAGAGGAGGTGGCTGAGGTGGTGAGCGTTGGTGTGGTAGTGTAGTTTAAATTAAATTTGGTTTTATAATGATTTTTAAAAATTTCCGGATTTACAGCATAAACATCCGGTGGCTGCGCTGATGATGACGATGAAGAGGTTGCGGTTGTTGTTGTGGTCTTGACATCTTCGCCGAACTCTGTCGTGGCCGCTGCATGGTCCTTTTCGACAACGCCACCTCCCTTGTTGGTTGATGTGATCGTGTATGGTATAAGTAAGCGGGATTGGTTTTTGAGGACATGTCGTGAGCGGGTGTAATAGTGGGTCGGTAGAGATGCTGCCCTAATTGCAGATGATGGTATTGTGCTTGCGATTGTTGTTGTAGCTGCTGCTGTTGTTGTTGTTGATGTTGGTATGATAGTTGTTGCTGTAATTTGTGGCTTTTGGTGGGCATTGGTATCAACGATGGTGGGTCGTCTATGTCGTGTATGACTGTGGTAGACTGTAGTGGATGGCGTTGTGAAGGCACGAATGGTTCCGGTGCTGGTTGGGATGGCCGTAGAGCTGCTGTCGCTAATGCCGCTACTGCCGGTGCTAGCTGTTTGGATTACAGAATAAATTATTTTACGTTTTTGATGAGTACTCTCATCTATGCCTTTAGCTGTACCAAAATCGTTTACCTCTCTTTCGGCATGCTGTTCACTGGGCGAAAAGTCCTGATCCGATCTACTGTCACTATAGCTTTTATGGGGTCTTCTACGTTGTTGCTGTTGTACCTCTCTGGAATAATGTTTATTAGAGGCTGAAGAACTTACAGACGAGGAGGAGGAGTGTTGCTGTGAGGGACTATTTGGGACTGTATCCCTAGAGCTTTTATACAAATAATGTTGTTCATATTTCTCATTACCCGGAGGACTTAAGTAGGATCCTACAGTGGGACTAGGAAGGCGGCTTTTCACCCTATTACTGCTTAATTCATTGGCATCAAAACTGGCATCATGCTTATGATGCTGATGTTGTAAGGCGAAATTTAAATCTTCCTCTTCATCCTCCTCATCATCACTGTAATCATGTGATGGGTATTGTTGATGTTGCTGATACAATTCTCCTTTATAAATCGGAGTAAATTCTTCTTGATCCACCTGAGAGGTTAAGGCAGGGAATTGTTGTTTATAGCCATCAATTTGGCAAGAGCAGCAAGTGGGTACTTTGAAGATATCCACATGCAGACCTCTAGTCTTATCCCAACTCAATAGACGATGATAGTTATAAACCTGGGCACAGTGAGAACGATAAGAGCCCGATAAATAACTGCAACTTTCTTGAGGATTCCTTTACAAAGAACAAACATTATTAAATTTCATTCATAACTCTTTTATATGCATAACTTACATGCATTTCTCTAAACGCAAAGTTTGTGTATGTTGTCCAGTATTAACTATATATTTCCATTCTCCTGAAGCTGAACGGGCCTTCTGGGGTCTAGCATAGCGTACAATACTTTGACACAATCCACCTTGTATATCATCTTCACGTCTGTTATAAAAATAAGTTTTCATAATATATAATTTCTTTATTAAACACAAAGATCATTTACCTCTTTTTGCCATAGATATAATCATCAAAATCCTCAGTTGTATCAATCGAATTTAAAGGCTTATCATTGTATTCTGCTAATAAAGCGGTCATGGCATTTCTATGTCTTCTTATGCTGCCCATAATTTGGTCTCTATTTGGATTAGTTTTCATAAATATTAGTAAAAATCGATTTCCCACAATCTTAACAAGAAAAACCTTTAACCAGGACTTGGGTTACCCTTACCATAACTGGAACCACTTACCCTTTATAAAGAAAAGCATTTGGGTTTAGGTCAAAGGAGAGCCCTTAATAAACAACCTTAATAATTAAAATTTACAAGTAAATTTTTACAATTTTTCTTTTATTAAATTATAATTTAATTAGTTTTACAACTAAATTTTGCCAAAGAAAATTACAGTGCTTAAAACTACTAAAATAACCATTTAAATAAATCAGGAGTTATAAATAAACCGGGAAAATTCAAAAATAATTGCTTTTAAGTTTAAAAGCCTTAAATTAGGCTTTTTAATTACTTGTTTATCTAACAACTTATAAAGTTGTTATAAATCTAAAGCATACTTTTGGGTGTTTAATTTATATTTAAATGAAAGCATAATTTTAGGCTTAATTACTAATATAAAAAGGATTAGTTGGTAATAAATAATCTCAGCAACTAAAAACATCTTACAACTAAAGCAGAACTACAAATTAAACAAAATTAAAAGTGCTTTTTAAATTCGTCTAAGCCGAATTTTAATATAACCTTCACCTAAGTATGTTACAAGAAATATTTTGTGGATATTACATATGAAAGATCTACTGTGAAAATTTAAACTACCATACGGACAATACACAGTGGGAAAATTGTAAAAAAAATTACTTTTTAGTCGATTTTACCCGTTCTTGAGTTTTGTCTACGAATTATATCCCTGGATATCCTCAAATCGTCTCCAATTCAGAATAAAGTAAATTTCTGTTATTGCATACTCATATTTTCTATCTGAAATCTGCTTTTTTACGAAATCAGCATCATTATTTTTTCCAACAAAGACACCTCGGACTGATCCAAGTTAAGATCCCATCAGATATTTGTGTCTCAAGTTTTCTAGTAATCCATAAGTTGGTTTCAACTAAAATATATAATGCGAAGCTTCGAAGCCTATTTTGGTGCTATTAAACCGCGCACAGCAGGGACGAAGGTCCTAATCGGTAATATTGGGGTATCTAACTCTATTGATTCACTAGATCGAATGTTTTATATATATATTACAATTGAAAGTATTCCTCTCAAATTATTGAACTCTTTGTATGCAACACACTCCTCTATCCTTCCTCCCACAACTTATTTTTCTAGTTCCAATACAATATAAAGGTCATCCCTTGAGTGCTGGTCCGAAAATGTAAAAAAACAGATAACTCTAAACTTTAGAAATTATGATATTTCTCAGTCATCATTATCAGATATATTACCTCAGAAAGTTCCGAGGTGAACTCAATAACCTAAATTTTATAAACTCTTATGAAATTATCATTTGCATTAGAGAATGTCTGAGAAGAAAACTGAGAGGATTAAAGATATTTGTGATGTTGGATAGTCAGGCGGCCTTTAAGGCTTTACTATCATATGAAATCATGTCGGGTGTCGTACTTGACTGTTTGACATCTCTAAATGAACTGGGTAAATATAATAAATTCAAACTATGTTGGGTACCTGGCCATGAAGGATACCATGAAGGGCGCCCATTTATTGGACCAGAACCATTCTTTGGTATCCCAAAAGGATACATTAGGGAAAAATGCGAATCATATCTTGAATCTGAATTTCCCCGCCACTGGGAGTCAATATCAGTCAGGCAAAAAGCTTCATAATGCTAATGAAAGAATGAAAGTGACCTAAGATTACTAACGGAACTTTATACCGGACACTGTGGACTTAGATCCCACCAGCACATTCTTGGTAACAATGTGACGAGGCTATGCAGATTCTGCGAAATGCATGATGAAACCTCTGAACATGTACTTTTTGACTGTCAGCCATTATTGACTCTCAGAGTGAGTATTCTGGGAGGCGCATTTCTTTCGCCTAATGAAATATTCAATCTCTCAACGACCTTTACCAAACCAAAAGGTCTGCACAAAAGATCTTAACTTGGGGCGTAGAGCTTGGTGCACCCTTAATCAATCAATCAATCAACTCTTATAAATTAAGCAACCGGTTAAGCTTATGTTCGATAACCGGTTCTTTTCGGTATGTCTGTTCATATGTAAAAGCTCGTATCACTTTAACATTCTCTGATGTAACCCAAATTGAATCAAGTCATGGAACATAAGCATAACTTAAGGCTACATATTTATTAAAAATTATAGCATACTTTAGGGATATTTTAAAATGTTTCTCAAATTTGTATTTCCTTCACAAGAGATATAAATTTGAAATCTGTAAAGTGTATGTCCTAGAGTGAAGGATACTGTTGTAGAACTAGTTCGGTAACTGGTGCTTTAGCGATAGGCCCCAGAAGGTGTATTCGTTCAATCTACTGGGAAAATATTTCATTTAAATTACCTAGAGGGAAAGGAACTATTACAAACAAGTCCCGTAACCAGTTTCATTTGGGTAGATCTATATAAAACTATTCTGAATTGTGAACTGTCCCTTTAAATTGCAATATCATATATTCTCCGATGTAATACAAATTAATTCAGATCAATTCAAGGAACTAGTTCGTTTGGAAAATAAGCGGTTAGGTTAATTAAAACAAAAATATAGTATAATTTAAGGCTGATTATCGATTAAAAATTATAGCATATATTTCATTAAGGATTCTGATACAGAACTAGTTCAATAGCAGGCTCTTTAGAGATAGAGGTCGTTTCTAACTCTTTATCATGGCCATGACTTCGAAAGATGTAATGTAACTGATCAAAAAACTGAAACGATTTTACGGCATGGTTATTTAAATCGAAAACGTAATCCAGAAATAATTGCTTAAAAATTTTAGAATCTCAAATCAATATTACAGCAAATATTTACAAACCGCTTAAAGGTGAAGGATATATAATACAAATTGTTTACACTAAAAAAATATTTTGTAATAAATAAATTAAAAAAAAAATCAATAAATAAATAATAAAAATAAAAAATAATAAAATAAATTCCATCAACCTTATGTGACCCACCGAACCTTCATTTTTTGCACTCTAACAAAAAACATAGCTTACATGGGATAATCATCAGTTTTTATACACATTGAAGCGGTGAAACGTTCACATTTCTTAGGAGCTGGTACACCATTACCTACTGCTCCCTGTTTTGGTCTGGCACGCACCTGAATACGTTTACGTTTGGCGGATGAAATTTTCGAACGCATCAATTTATTACCCGCTATACGATAACGTGGTCCAGCTATTAACTCTTCGGGAGTAGGTAAAATTTCTTCGTCCGGATCGTCGGATTTGCCCTCACTTATTAAATCGTTATCTTGGCTTTCGCTATCGTCGAGAAATATTTCACTGCCATTTAAACTGGCAAAAGCCATATCCTCTACTAACTGATAGGGTTCGTAGGTCTCCTCTTGCACTGTTTCGGGTGTAACAATTATGGGAGCATGGGTGGTAGTTGTGGTAGATGTAGAGGAGGCGGCTGCTGGGGTCTTAGGGCGTGCTGAAGTTTCTTTGGGTGAAGCAAAGGCCGTAGTATTTAGCCTTAAAGTGCGACCAGCTAAGCCTCTTTGCAAGTCTTCCTCATTTACCGCTAAAGGCACTGACCTCACCAGTTTGTGCACAAATTCTTTGGATTTCCTTAAAGATCTGCGTATACGCCTTAAAGGAATTTTAGGGGTTGTACTAGTTGTGGTGGTTTCTTCTTTAGGTTTCTCTGTTGTACTATTGACATCTGTTAACATTTCCATTTCTTGAGTTTTATTAAGTTTCAACAAAGTCAAAGTGGGCACATCCTTTTGTAATTGATGATTTATATCTAAAGGATCTGTGATATCATCATCCTCCTCTTCTAATTCCTCATCAAAATTTACATTATCTAAATCAGATTTGGTATCATTGTTTGAACTTTTCAATTGTTCCAATTCCTCGTTAATTTCTTTAGGATCTAAAACTTCTTCAGACATAAAATCTTCCAAACCATCTAAGCCCATGACCTGAGTCATTTGTGCTGTGGCCGGTAAGGTGCCAATACCCTCATTATTTTCTTCTGCTGCCATTTCTTCGGGAGTTAATTCTAGATTTCTTCTTTCATAGGAAATTTTAGTTTTAGAAAAATCCCCAAAGTCTGCCAAATTATAATCGAATTGTATATATTTCTTGGCCGAATTGCGTACTAAATTGGCTATATCATAGACTATGGGCAAAATTAGGGATTTGTCATCACCAAACATCATGCGCACCTGAAAATAAGTCGTTTACCACTACACTTTTATATATTCTAGTTTACAAACTCACCTGATCCAATTTTAGTTCATTACCCTTTTTGGCATTGATTTGAGCCGTTATCAAAGCCGATAAAGCCAATCTCTGCTGTTTCGATAGTACTCTCAATATGGGCATGACCTCTACAAACTTTTGTCGAACTGCTTTATTCGATAAAGCCTTAGACAAAGCTGTTCTCAAAACCTTTTCTCGCCAATCAAATGGATGAACTTGATTTTCCTCCAATAAATCATCATCATCATCGAAAGTGATTAAGTTTTCCTTTGTGGTTCCCTTAGGCAACAATTCTTTGCTATTATCATTTTCATAATTCCAATCAATTTCTTTGAGATCAGTAAAATCAAAATCCATTAAGTCTTCATCGGTGGCACTTACAAGATATAGAACACAATATAGTGTGGCCCAAAATAGGCAGCGCAGTGAGCGGCCCATTTTCATGGTGACTAAAAGAATTAGAAAAGAGAGAGGTAAAGTTTATTTAAATGAGATTTAAGGTGTGTAAAACAATATAGCATAACCTAAGGCTTATGATATAATAAAAATTATCGCATACTTTATGGATTTCTTAAAAAGATTTTATAGAATTAACTAGATTGTCATTTCTTTGCTATTTTAAAGTCTATAGTCTAGTCTATAGTCTAGTCTATAGTCTAGTCTATAGTCTAGTCTATAGTCTAGTCTATAGTCTAGTCTATAGTCTAGTCTATAGTCTAGTCTATAGTCTAGTCTATAGTCTAGTCTATAGTCTAGTCTATAGTCTAGTCTATAGTCTAGTCTATAGTCTAGTCTATAGTCTAGTCTATAGTCTAGTCTATAGTCTAGTCTATAGTCTAGTCTATAGTCTAGTCTATAGTCTAGTCTATAGTCTAGTCTATAGTCTAGTCTATAGTCTAGTCTATAGTCTAGTCTATAGTCTAGTCTATAGTCTAGTCTATAGTCTAGTCTATAGTCTAGTCTATAGTCTAGTCTATAGTCTAGTCTATAGTCTAGTCTATAGTCTAGTCTATAGTCTAGTCTAGTCTAGTCTATAGTCTATAGTCTAGTCTATAGTCTAGTCTATAGTCTAGTCTATAGTCTAGTCTATAGTCTAGTCTATAGTCTAGTCTATAGTCTAGTCTATAGTCTAGTCTATAGTCTAGTCTATAGTCTAGTCTATAGTCTAGTCTATAGTCTAGTCTATAGTCTAGTCTATAGTCTAGTCTATAGTCTAGTCTATAGTCTAGTCTATAGTCTAGTCTATGGTCTAGTCTATAGTCTAGTCTAGTCTAGTCTATAGTCTAGTCTAGTCTATAGTCTAGTCTATGGTCTAGTCTATAGTCTAGTCTATAGTCTAGTCTATAGTCTAGTCTATAGTCTAGTCTATAGTCTAGTCTATAGTCTAGTCTATAGTCTAGTCTATAGTCTAGTCTATAGTCTAGTCTATAGTCTAGTCTATAGTCTAGTCTATAGTCTAGTCTATAGTCTAGTCTATAGTCTAGTCTATAGTCTAGTCTATAGTCTAGTCTATATAGAATAGACTATATTCTAGCCTATAGTCTAACTTGCAGTATAATATATAGTTTAGTTTATAGTCGGTATATAGTCTAGTTTTTAGTCTTGTTTATAGAATAGAGTTAGTGTATTCTAGTATATAAGGTAGTCCACAGTTTAGTATACCGAATTGTATGCAGACTAATTGATTGGGTAGTCTGTAGGCAATCTATTGGTTTGTCCATAGACCAGTCAATGGTCTTGTCTGATCGCGCCAACTTTCTTAGTTATTTTTGTTCCACATTTTTATTGTCAAATTAAATTGCTAACAATTCATGATTAAATACTTTAAACAAAGTAAGCAAATTTTATAGTTTTCAAAACTAGTGAACAAAAATTTGCCGAATATAGATCAGCAGACTTGTTTTGCTTTCAAATCAATAACAGCGGAAATTAGCTTTTAAAATGTTAACATTTTAATACCAAAAAGCAACCACCAACAACTGCTAAATAATGCTGTCTGAAATTATTTTTGGAAACTCAACTTTCTATCTTAAAAAGAAAAAAAAAATAAAAATCTTTTTGGCTTCAGAAGCAATTTAATTTTTAATATAAAATCTTAAAAGAAAGCACCTTCTTATACGCTTAATACTAAAGACAATTAAGTCATTAAGATCAACATAAATTAAAATATTTTATGTTAAATAATTGTTTCTATAAGGAAAGAAAGATTCACTTATTTAAATTTTTTAAACGAAAAAAAGTAAAAGTCTTCATAAATCTTTCGAGCTAACGATGTAAACGACAAACAAACAAATTAACTAGAGACACGCTTCAAAAATGTGTTTTAGTTTAAATCGTGATATACATATAACGTTAAAAAAATAAATAAACTACCGACCAACTTAAGCAACTGGGTAGAAAAAATTAAACCAAATTTTTGTGGTATTTGAAGTAAATAATTATAAAGAGATGTTAAACACATTTCAACTAAAACAATTACCAAAAAGTTAAAACTGTATTAACCCATTAGGAACTAATGTAACTTATTCGCCTTTATCACTTTAACTACTGGAACTGGGTACTATGTTTTCAATTATAGTTTCTAGAAGTAAATTTTTTTAATACATAAAGCTTGCACTTAATGGGTTAAATCCTCAAATGTCTTACTAACTATGTGAATTATACAGGTAAATAAACTTTTTCCCCCAACTGTTTAATTATTTTCCACGGTATGTCATGTTTAACAGTAGTAACTAGTTAAGTAAGTGACAAACGTTTAACTATTTTCCTGCTAATACTTAAATGTAAACTGCCAGCTAGCTAACAGCAAATGTTTGAAAAACATTTATTATTTTTTTATGATTTTCCGAACGCTCTTCATGGCTACGCACTTAAGCTGGTTGGTATTTTTGATTATAAATAGAGATACTTACATTTTAGTTACATCTCGTTTTACTAATTTTAGTTGGATGTAATAATGTTTTGATGTGGTCATGTTCGTTTGTAACAATAAAGATAAATGACATTGTTGTAAGTAATGAAGATTTTATAACTTTAGGTCATAATAGTAGTTAATAAAATAATTTATAAATATTATTACTAAATCATAAAATGTATCAAATAAAATTTGTATTCTATAAAGAAATTTAAATTGTGTATGGAAAAATTTTATGTAACTGGTTTTAGAGACGACACCTTAGCCTTGATTATTGTCCTTCATAAATGTTGATCGTGAACATGATCATACTTAAATAAACATTTAAAAACTGGATTTAAAAAAAATTTCAATGTAAATAACAATAATAATAACAAATAAGTACCAAGTAAAAGATGCTCTGGAAACTTTAAGCTCACAATCAGAGTTGCCAGTTACTCCTTTAAGGTGTTTCTGTTTGAAATTCGAAATAACAAAAAAAGTGAAAGAAGCGAGAGTAATATACATATATGCCAATGCAGAATCCTATATACCCTTCAACGAAACTAAAACAAAACTAGAAGAGAATTAGAACAGACTAGAACAGAGCTAGAACAGAACTAGAACAGAATTAGATCAGACTAGAACAGAGCTAGAACAGAACTAGAACAGAACTAGAACAGAGCTAGAACAGAACTACAGCAGAACTAGAACAGAACTAGAACAGAACTAGAACAGAACTAGAACAGAACTAGAACAGAACTAGAACAGAACTAGAACAGAACTAGAACTAGAACAGAACTAGAACAGAACTAGAACAGAACTAGAACAGAACTAGAACAGAACTAGAACAGAAACTAGAACAGAACTAGAACAGAACTAGAACAGAACTAGAACAGAACTAGAACAGAACTAGAACAGAACTAGAACAGAACTAGAACAGAACTAGAACAGAACTAGAACAGAACTAGAACAGAACTAGAACAGAACTAGAACAGAACTAGAACAAACTAGAACAGAACTAGAACAGAACTAGAACAGAACTAGAACAGAACTAGAACAGAACTAGAACAGAACTAGAACATAACTAGAACAGAACTAGAACAGAACTAGAACAGAACTAGAACAGAACTAGAACAGAACTAGAACAGAACTAGAACATAACTAGAACAGAACTAGAACAGAACTAGAACAGAACTAGAACAGAACTAGAACAGAACTAGAACAGAACTAGAACAGAACTAGAACAGAACTAGAACAGAACTAGAACAGAACTAGAACAGAACTAGAACAGAACTAGAACAGAACTAGAACAGAACTAGAACAGAACTAGAACAGAACTAGAACAGAACTAGAACAGAACTAGAACAGAACTAGAACAGAACTAGAACAGAACTAGACAGAACTAGACAGAACTAGAACAGAACTAGAACAGAACTAGAACAGAACTAGAAACAGAACTAGAACAGAACTAGAACAGAACTAGAACAGAACTAGAACAGAACTAGAACAGAACTAGAACAGAACTAGAACAGACAGAACTAGAACAGAACTAGAACAGAACTAGAACAGAACTAGAACAGAACTAGAACAGAACTAGAACAGAACTAGAACAGAACTAGAACAGAACTAGAACAGAACTAGAACAGAACTAGAACAGAACTAGAACAGAACTAGAACAGAACTAGAACAGAACTAGAACAGAACTAGAACAGAACTAGAACAGAACTAGAACAGAACTAGAACAGAACTAGAACAACTAGAACAGACTAGAACAGAACTAGAACAGAACTAGAACAGAACTAGAACAGAACTAGAACAGAACTAGAACAGAACTAGAACAGAACTAGAACAGAACTAGAACAGAACTAGAACAGAACTAGAACAGAACTAGAACAGAACTAGAACAGAACTAGAACAGAACTAGAACAGAACTAGAACAGAACTAGAACAGAACTAGAACAGAACTAGAACAGAACTAGAACAGAACTAGAACAGAACTAGAACAGAACTAGAACAGAACTAGAACAGAACTAGAACAGAACTAGAACAGAACTAGAACAGAACTAGAACAGAACTAGAACAGAACTAGAACAGAACTAGAACAGAACTAGAACAGAACTAGAACAGAACTAGAACAGAACTAGAACAGAACTAGAACAGAACTAGAACAGAACTAGAACAGAACTAGAACAGAACTAGAACAGAACAGAACTAGAACAGAACTAGAACAGAACTAGAACAGAACTAGAACAGAACTAGAACAGAACTAGAACTAGAACAGAACTAGAACAGAACGAACTAGAACAGAACTAGAACAGAACTAGAACAGAACTAGAACAGAACTAGAACAGAACTAGAACAGAACTAGAACAGAACTAGAACAGAACTAGAACAGAACTAGAACAGAACTAGAACAGAACTAGAACAGAACTAGAACAGAACTAGAACAGAACTAGAACAGAACTAGAACAGAACTAGAACAGAACTAGAACAGAACTAGAACAGAACTAGAACAGAACTAGAACAGAACTAGAACAGAACTAGAACAGAACT